TGTATAAACAATTTTTCATTAAATTGATTTTTTTCCGCTTTTATTTGCATCTTCAGTTCTTCGATTATTCGTCCATAGTTGCCAAACGGATGCGGTTAGAGGAAAAAGTTACTTGGAAAAAATATTGTTAACTAATATATCTACATTTATGTCTCCGTCCATTTCTCTCTAAAACGTATATTTCTTATAGATATTTAAGAATAAACCACCGGAGTATAATGGTCACCGGAGGCAAAGTTAAAAAACGCTATAAATCCACGGGTTTTACGACCACGATATAACTTGCATTGTATCTTTATTTTTACTCGAGCTGTGTGAGGCGTAGAGAACAAACAAATATATCATCAAATAGAACGCGTTCAGACGCACCTGCCTGTCATAAAACGAGTTTTTCAAAATAATTCGTTCGGCCGTGAAACGGGGCCAACTTTGGCATCCTGAAAGTCACTCAAAACGAAATTCACTGACTTGCCCTTGGTTTCTAACGATGCAAAACTATCACACGTAATTGCGTTGTTCGAGGTAATTTTTCTCTTTGTTTTTTTTTTACCGATTTTTTTACAATTTTCTAATTTTTTTTAATTGGCAAAAAATGCATCTTTTAGGCTTTTATGGAAAAATTTTATAGAAGATGAAAACGTTTTCCCTGACGTTTCCTATAAGATGACGTTGGAAAACTCGAGTCGTTGTTTAGATTTTTTCTTCAGAAAAACATGGTAAAGATTTCATCGTCCAGGACGTTTCACAGACATCCTGGAAAAATCTTTATGGAATAAAAAAATGTGTCTTTTAACGTCTTTTATTAGATGCCGCATGAAAAAATTAGTCATCATTTGGAATTTTTTCAAAAAAATCGAAAATCCAAAAAAACGAAAAAATATGAAAAAAATACATTTTCCAGGCACTTATCTGGAAACTTCTTTGAATCAACAATGTTTCCTCAAGCAAGTTTTATGTTATGCTGCAAAAAAACGGAGACACGGTTCTTTTAGTTCGGCCACAAACTCCAAAAAACTGAAAACGACGAAAAAACGAAAAAAATCCATTTTCCAAGCATTTTTTGTGAAAATTTCACTGAAGTCGAAAACGTTCCCCCCAACGAGTTCTATCAGACTGCTTTGGACAAATATCGTCATCATTTGGACTTTTTCTTCAGAAAACGGACAAAACCGATTCATCGCCCAAAAACTAAGTCCAGCGCCAAGTTAGAGTACAAGATTGGCAAAAGTTAGAGTCCAGAATTGACATAAGTGCAGATAAAACGTTTTCTATGCATCCTGGAGAGACCTTTATTTAGTCGAAAAAGAACCCCAGACGTATTAAGTCGAATGGCGATGTAAAAATAGTCATTATTTTCCATTTTTTTCCAGAAAATCAAAAAAACTGAAAATGACGAAACTAAAAAAATTCATCTTCTAGGCATCTGATCGAAATCTTTATTTAGTGAAAAACGCTTGCAAGGACGAGTTCTATTATATGCCGTTTAGAAAACGTGGTCTTCATTTAGACTATTTTCGAGAAAATCGAGAACAAACAAAATTCGTTCAGATTCCAAGTCCCGTCGAAAATTAGAGTCCCCAATTCACATAGCCGCCAAAAAATACATCTTCCTGGCATGCTACAAAAATATTTCCTTAATCAAGCATGACTCTTCAGACTTGCTCTCCAAGATGCTGTCAGAAAAATTAGTGTTCGTTTGGACTTTTCTCAAAAATGTAAATAACTTGAAATGACATAATTGCAAATAAGTCATTTTCCAGGCATCTTGCATCAATCTTTACTTAGTCAAAATGTTTCCCTACACGGGTACTATGAGATGCCGTTGATAAATATCAATCGTCATATGGAATAATTTTCCAAAAAATCGAAAAAACTGAAAATGACGAAACTCAAGAAATGTGTATTTCCAGGAACCTGATCGAAATCTTTATTTAGTGAAAATTATTTCTCAAGACGAGTTTTATGAGATGCCATTGCTAAGATATAGTCTTACTTTGAACTTTTTTTCGAAAAATCGAAATAAATGAAAAATCGTTCAGAGACTAGGTGTTGTCGAAAGTTAGAGTCCCTGATTGACACATTTGAAAAAAAAAACACATTTTCCAGGCATCATACAAAAATCTTTATGGAATCAAATATGACTCAAATAGTCAAATATGTAGCTCTCTAAGATGCCGTTATAAAAAATTGCTTGCCAACTGGACTTTTGCCATGAATAGAGAAAAACGTAAAATGACATAACTGCAATAAATACATTTACAGGCAATTTGAGAAAATCTTTATATAGTCAAAAAAGTTCCTCCAGATGTGTTCTATGAGATGTCTAAGGAGAACAGTTAGGCATCATTTGGACTTTTTTTTAGGAAATAGCAAAAACCTAAAATTCATGCCAAGTTCAAGTTTCGCTGAAAGTTTGAGTCCACGATTGACATAACCGCAAAAAATACATGTTCCAAGAATCGCACATGAATATTTATAGAGTCAAAAGAGCTTCTCCAAGTATGTTTAATGAGATGCTGTTGCAGAAATATGGTCAATACGTGGACTTTCTTCATAAATTGAAAAACCTGGAGCACCCGTTCAAAATCGAACTTTCATGTAAAATCAAACTCCAAGCTCTTATGTAATTGACTCCCTATTTGGAGATGGGTGAAATGGGGTACACATTAACAGTCATTTTTTCGGTCATGACGGAAGACGCAGGTTCCAAACTTTGCACGCATGTCAGCATAATCATATGCCCTCTTTTAAATTCCTTAGGCCAGGCAACTGGCCAGAGGGCAGTTGCCTGGCCCCTTGACCATGTCACAGTGCTCCCTTATAATATCTATCGCTCCCGTGAGGGGGCGGGCGGAGTTGGAGAAATAGATATTGATGTGACTGCAAATAAATAAATATTCAATCCATATATAATAGTGATTAGGTCGTGCATTTTGGGATGAATTGTGGTAAAAACTTTTATTGGGTAAAGGCATCGGGAGCTTACCTGTTTGTGGCAATGAAACTGTGTGTCTGAGCCACATTTAACGCGCAATAGGATGCAAGATATTGACTTTGCAACAGATTAGCATGAGGAAGGTTTCTTAACGCCAGGGCTATATATGCCAGTTATCGCTCTCTCTTAAATCACATGTGAGAATCGTGCTTGGGCGAGGTACAACGGTGACATCAGATCGCATTTCGATATATTTTCGTGATCAATTATTGTGATGAACTTTACTGACTGGGATGCAAATTTAAACTGACACTAGATATATTTAACCAGATTTCGTCTCTTGTAGTGATAGTGAGACGTTTTAACACTATCATAGGTTAGATTAGGCTAGGTGTTGTCGGGTTAAAGGAGGTCAAGGTATAGGTAAGGGTTGGTTAGGAAAGGTTAGGTAAGGTTAGGATGGGTTATGTTACGTTAAACTAGGTCAAGTTTGGCTACTTTATGTTAGAAAAGGTTAGGTGGGGATGAACTAGGTTAGATTTGTATTTTTTATATATGTTAGATCATTTTAGGTTTGTTTACGTTAGATTAAGTTAGGTCAGGTTAGATCATGTTAGGTAAGGGTAGGTTAGGTAAAGTTAGGTGAAGTTAGGTTAGGTTAGACCAGGTTAGGTAAGGGTAGGTTAGGTTAAGTTAGGTAAAGTTAGGTTAGGTTAGATCAGATTAGGTTAGGGTAGGTTAGGTTAAGTTAGGCAAAGTTAGGTTAGGTTAGATTAGGTTAGGTTAGGTTAGGTAAAGTTCATTTTGGTTAGATCAGTTCAGGTAAAGTTAGGTTAGGCTGGGTAATGTTATAATAGGTTAGGTTAAGTTAGGTTAGGTTAGGTTAGGTTAGGTTAGGTTAGGTTAGAATAGGTCAGAATAGGTCAGGTTATGTAAGAGTATGTTAAGATAGGATAGGATATTTTAGGGTAGGTTACCTTAGGTTGGGTTACGTTAGTTAAAGTTTGGTTAGGGGACGTTAGATAAAGTTAGTTCATTTCAGATCAGGTCAATTTAGGTTGGCTCAAGGGAGGTTAGGTTAGGTTATGTAAGGTTATATCGCATTACGTTGTGTTTAGTTATGGTATGGAATGTTATTATATGTTTCGTTATAATAAGTTATGTCATGTGTTGTTGTGAGAGTTTGGTGATAAAGTAGGAGAGTATTATAAATTAGTTTTGAGAATACACGGCCGGTGTTTGTTAGATGTTTTATTTTTTTTCATTTATGGTGTTTTTTAATGGAAGTAAGTATAGCTATGAGTGACGGGTGGTGAGAGAAATGTGCGCGGGCATGTATTTTGATAGTGCGTGTGTTTTGTGGTGTTTAAATTTCATTGTTGTGTTTGTTGTTAATAGTATTTAATGTATTGTATGTATTGTTTTGAGAGTATGTAGTTGTTTTATGTTGTATATTAAGATAGATTGGGGGTTTGTTCGGTTATCTGGTTATCTCTAACACAACTTGTGTTATTTTAAGTGCAGTAATAGCTTTCAGTTTTTTCAGTGTTGCTAAACTAATACAAGGACACTACTTCTTGAATTGAATGCTAAATAGACCAAATTCTAAGAAACCATTGAATTCCAATTGATCCCATATGACAGGATTCTTTAGCGAGGGATTAGACATGTTGTGATCTCTCTTACCTCCCGTCAATGACACGCTTAGGTCGCCACCCATGAGATTCCGCACTTAACTTGCCGTTCATCGTTAAAAACCACGAACGTAATTCTTGTCAGAACTACGATTTGTAAGGATCGATAACCACATGACTAAAAAATTGTTCTGATCGCGCCAGAAAGATGTGGTTCGGTTGCCATTGACGGTAGTTAGCTGCACAAAAGATTTGCGTCCTGATGAGTCACTTGGGTTTGGTCTTAGAATGAAGAATTCATGGTTGCTCGAGATGGAAGCTGTTGGCTCAATTAGTTCACCAATTTTGAAGCAACATTTTGTGCAAATGATACCTAAGTTAGCAAGTTTTATCCATGCATCCTAATGTGTAATTACCGGACAGGTTTTGGAATCACGAGCACTGCCAGTAGTGGGACCGCCTCTCTCACCACTGCTACCACGTGAGATATCATTCCAGCAAAGTCTTTGCTAGAAACTATTTTAAATTGTTCGTATTAATCTCGGTGATAGAGGCATAGAGGTATTTGATTGACTCATTTCATCTTCTAATGACACAACTCTAATTCAGTAATTAGGCAGTGAATGAATACAGCTTACTAGATGAAAATGTCATTTGTACTGTGTACAAATAACTTGAACTTGTGCATCGTTCTAATCTGGCCTAGTTTTTTTCCTCTAAATGTACCGGGTCTTCCAATTAAAATTAAGACTTCGGTAAATATTTCGTTGGTTGTGAAAAGAATGAAATTGTGCAGTGTTGTGAAAGAAAAAAATGAAACTGTGTTGTGAAAGTGACGTATGCTTGAGCAGTTGCTTGATTTCGTTGAATTAGCTATGTACGTTTATCGTTGGTGTGTGTAGCGAGAGGCTATGTATGCATGATAAATTTATCCTGATAACAATATTCATATTGTACATAATAGGAAACCCATGCAACAACATGACAAAAAATACTCGTGCTTAATTTCATGGAAGTTTTGGGAATTTTACCATAATTTTAATTCAAATTTTGCGGCACGGATTTGCGACTATAAATAAACTCTTAACACATGTGTCAAATTTTCATGTTACTTAGGTTAGGCATTAGTACTGTCTCCACATAAAAGGTTAGGCATTGGTTCTGTCGCCACATCAAAGGTCAGGCACTAGTTACATCGCTACAACAAATGTTAGGCATTTGTTATGTCGCCACAACATAATTTTTTCATCATTTACGTTTCTATCTCATAGATTTGTCAATGCATAATCGGGCAACATCTGAGTTGAACATTATAAATTTATGTTAAAGAGTTTTATCTTGTCAGGACGAGCAGTTGGGGAGGCAGTGGTGCCGGCGGTGGAGGTGTGACAGTGCGTCAGTTGGAGGAGAGATTGAACAAGTGGCTGCTTGAGGCTCGGGAACAAGAGGAACGCTTCTTGAAGCAGGCGCAGCACGTCAACGCGTGGGACCGCGTGCTGCAGCAAGGACACGCGCAAGTGCACAGCCTGCGAAACGCTCTTGACGCAGTCCAGGTGCCGCTAGGGGCATGTGGCCTACGCGGTCATACTATGTGTTGCCTCTAGTTGTAGGAATCTGTTTGTAATTGTTTTGAACAGCGTTTAATGTGCAACTTGAGCACAGTGCTTGATAAAATTTAATCTAACATTACAACATTTATAAAGTACATGTAGCTGAACCGGTATTTCACTACCAGTTTTCTTTTATCAAACATCCAGTCAAGTTTTATAATTTGCATATATGTATAAGGTTGTCGTTTGTTAATAAATTCATCTGGGTGAAAGGATTAAAGATGCAGTTTAACGGCGTTTTAGCTCGTCGTCACAAGTTTGAGCGATGCTTCTGCTTACAATGTGAGTCATGAAGACAGTTAATTTAATTTCATATCGTTCCCTTAAACACTCTTGTACTTTTCAATAACTACGCTAAATTCACCAAGCATTTTTTCGCAGAGCGATCAAAATCGACTAGAAGCCGAGTTAGATTTTATTCGAGGTCAACAAAATGAGCTGGAGCAGCTCTTAGCCCCGCTAGAAGAAGCGGTGGGCAAGCCTGAGATTGTAGGCATGGGTTCGGGCATACATCAGGGCGACCGACAGCGAGAAAACATGTACCACATGGCACAGGTTAGCCCTACTTGACTTTGACATTCTCAACTTTTACTCTCTTCTTAACTTCGGCTTATCATACTAAACTTTAACTTGCCCTTTCTAACTTTGACTTGCTCTACAGAACTTTGACTTCATTGTTGTGCCGTAATCTCGCGTATATTGCTTTTGCTGTTATTAAATTAAACAAAATGTCTTGTTTCATATTGAGTTAAAGTATTGTGTCAATCAATTTACTTCTGTACTAAGTCTTTATTGAAGTCAATGTCGCATCTTTAAGAACAAAGCTACTCTAGCTATGCTAAAAGCTTCCGTTCGCTTACGATTAAGTCCGTGTAAGATAACGGTAATCTCATTACACCAAAACGCCATTGACTTGAAAACTTCTGGACATCGGCTGATTTTTGTAAATTACCAATCTTACCTAGATGCGCATTTTCGAAGTTCATCATAATGAAACAATAAAGTACTTGGAAGCGATATAACGCCATCATTTGACATGTTCATAGTCAATCCCGTTCCTTATATTCATCTAATATGTGTAATCTACTAATATCATCAGACATAACTTCCTCGATATAGTCAGAAATGCTTTTAGAATGTATCTAGATTTGTCGCGATTGAGTTCTCTCGTCACTAGCTTCTAACAATCTTAACATTTTTCAGAATTTGGACGGTCAGTTAAGACAGATGTCAGAAGACTTGGTTAAGGTGATCGAGCACGTGAATGCAATCAACGGGACTGCCGAGAAGCAAGATTCACCTGTAAGTCTTGTAGCCAAGATACTGTCTGCGCACATGGACACACTCAAATGGGTAGATCAGAATGCCTTACTACTTTCTCAGAAAGTAGATGAAGTTTCAAAACATTTTTAGACTTGATTCGATCAATCTGGACATTACTATTCCTCTCTTGCCAGGTTATAGAATTAACGCTCATCATTGATATGGAATAAAAGAAAACGTTTATTCGTTCATCATTTTTCACATAAGCATTTTTACACGGTTATTGAGTGTAGATACAAGAAAGCGGAGTGTCCGCACAAAGCCAAGGGGAAGCTGATGCCTGCAATTTAACCTTCTAGTTAATCAATCGTAAAATAACCAATTCCTACGTAAAAGCTAGCTTCAAATTGATCTATTAGATAAGTTGATCTCGGATCGAGACAAGCTGGTTGAATGAATTTATAGATGCCATTTTTTCGAATTGACCCTCAAATGTAACTAATAAGTGTTAGATGATTAGTTAAAATTCAGGATTTGAAACCTATCAATATCTAATACGATTACTCGCACTTTCATGCTGAAATGTGAAGCCCTTAATATGAAGTTAGTGTAATTAAATCTCTGTACATTATTAGCTTATGTCTTGATTATTACATAAAAAAGATATTTCCACTATCTAAGAAATTACCTAAGATAACGACGATAAACAAGAAGTTGCTATGCGGATAGGGAAGCACATCAAGCCCATTAAATTAAGACAATAATTGCCAGCTCGATCACATGCACATCCTTCACAACTCTTCATATTTAAAGATTTTCAAGATAACTCAATTAAGGCATTAGTTCACATCATTTCATGATAGTCTGTTCATAGATCAAGACGAGTACGATGATATTTATCTGGTACTCTAATCAAGTGCACCACACCGCATGCTCGACGCAATAAATCTAAGCAAGGCCTCAATAACGAGGTGTGGCGGCTGGCGGGGCTATCACTATTAAACTTGTTATCCTATCAAGGGGCACCACAACGCTCGGTTACTAGTGCCTTCAACATGGTACAAGTAATGGACAGATAGGCTAAGAATACTTGATTCTCATGTTAAGAGACAAATAACATTTTACTATTAATTCATCACAAATGTCACTCGAGTCATATGATATCGGTTTACTATAATCAATCACAAAAAACACTCGAGATACTTGAATCTAACTAGAATTGAAAACAATGGAGAAAAAAATTGAATGAACATCGCACGAAAATGGCTTCATTTTTATGCCACTAGAATCTAATGACTAAGAATTGGTTTTCCCCGACGGCTTGACTGCGGGCGGTGTGAAGAACGAGACCACATCGGCCTTTTGGAGCCGGGGAAACGTAAACGTAACACTTCCGACGTATCGTCTGTGAGGAGCAGCGCTCACATCAGAATATCTGCACAGGTGTAAAATTTGTCAAATCGGGGAAAATTCGAAGACTTGCATTTTTGTCGATAATCTCGAGTGTAACTGTTTAAAGAAAGGCCATTCATCAATCTTGAAACGTACAATTTCCACGGTTAGAAGACCAAGTTGAGCAATCCAAGTTTGAAATTATTGCTAAAAAACCGGCTCTGTTACCACATGACTGCTAAGCAATGCTCTTCTGTCGCTCACAAAAGGCTTTATGTGCATTTAAGCAATAATTTTAACATAATATACATCAATAATTTTCATTCCTAAATAACGAGCATTCGCTGATGCAGATTCAAAGCAGCAGTGAATACTGGAATTAAAAAAAAAATACGAAATATTTCAGTGTTGTCTACTAGTTCGAGTTTTCATGGTTTAATGGCTAGGAAATAGTTAATAAATGTATCCAAAAATGGAGTGAGAAAGAATTTGTTTTGTACGGTCGCTACACGCACTTTCAAAGAAAACTAAATTTGCACAATGTAGAAAGAAAAACAAAAATTCTGCAAAGCTTAGTAGCTATGATAATGACTGGAGCGATACATTAAAAAAACGCCAGTAATAACATGGAAGAATATTTTAGTCTACAATTACAAATTGAATTGGTATCAGGCACCAATATTGGTTATATATGTCGATTTCAGATTGAGTACTGTTCTATTCCTACACTCACCTGGAACGGATGTGTTGTTTTCTGAAGTTTTCTTATTCAAATTTTGTTCGAATGCTATAAATGGATCTGCTGGCGGGTTGCTGTTAATGGCATCTTCATTAGTTAGTTTGAATTGACCAGCGTCAATAATCTGCTCAAAATCTGCCGTGTTTGTTGTGAAGGCGTGGGACTGGTCACCAAACGCTGCATCACTGGTGATTGGATTGAATGACCCCAGGAGATCCACGCTGCAATGAAAAGTTACTTTTTCTAGAGCCTTTAGTTTCCTCAAATTCAACGCAAATTTTACACGAGGCTGAACCATTTTCCATTGATCGAGACTGAACCAGAATGAGTAAATTATCAACAACCATTGGAATAAGTATACATTTCCTAAAAATGTGAGTAAAATGCTATTCTGAGCTCCAAGTGCAAAATGCATTGACATAAACATGTTCGGTATTCATGTGGCATTAAACCTTTGTTACTCGAGAATAAACTCACCTCTCCTGCTCAGGATTGCAATTGTTGACGCCATTTGTGTGTCCATTAAGGGAGCCGAGCAGATCCATAGACTGTGGTGCGTTAGTAGTGTCTGTGAGCAATACGTTGCCGTTGGTGTGATGGTGCAACGTGATATCTGCGACAGCCGCACTCAGTAGGTCCACCGAAGCTTCTTGAGAGCTGATGATGTTACCCTGCACAGTCTGATCCAGCGAGCTCGCACCACTGGTGTCCACAGTACTGTGGCCGAGTGTGCTCTGTGATGACACATCACTGGACGGAGCGTGGGAGCTTGACACGTCGCTGTTAGGCTGAGATGATGCGTCACTCATCGGCTGAGAAGATACTCCGCTCGAGGCTTGACAGCTTTCATTTTCAGAGTCTATAGTGGCTGCAGCTATCATTGAATCAGACATTTTGTCTATCATCGAGTCGGTGAGATTAGCTTTCAGCAACGCCTCGTTGATTGTTTTGCTCTCATCCGAAGGAGTTTTCGATTCACTCTGAAATATAAGATCATTATGTAGCTTATCTTCAAAGCTCAGAGCTAGGGTTCAAAACTTAGATCACTAAGTTAGCAAATTCAGTAAATATGGGCTTTTGGAAATAGGTTTTCACTGACCTTGTTTGGAGTAAGGCTGCCTCCTCTCCTTGTGCGAGCCATGATGGCAGCGACGCGGTCCTTACGCGACTTTCGCTCTTCCTCTTCTTTGCGTAATTTCTCCTCTGCTTCCTTTTGCCGTTCAGCTTCTTGACGCTCAGCCTGAGAAAAGAAAAGAGTTTCTTTTTATTTTATACATTCAATTGGACATTATACCATTAACGCTCACTCAACTTGGAAGTTGATCACGCTACGAAGGGATTCATTAATCTGTCGCCAATTTTTAACATCGCAGAACATTCACAGCTTATAGCGGTCTCGAACTCGCAACTCACTGCTCCAATTCTGCTCTGCTCTATCACCCGGCCTACTAGCAGTTTCTGACCAGAAACTGGGGCACAGAGCTGGAATCGAACAGGCACCTCTCTGCTTCAATCTTGGTACTCTGAACTTTAACCACTGTGCCGCCCTACCTAGTGAACTCTTGCAACATTCATCAGTCAATTCATCAGCTAGGATGTTCATTTTCATGTGTATGTAGACTTAACTTGAAAAATAACTATAAATAACTAAAATACCCTTAAATGTCAAACGTAGGTGCATGAATTGGGAACACAATGATCACTATTCAACTGAACTAGAGAATCCCAATTGGGAGCAGTAACGCATGACAATAAATTCGAAGAGCTTCAGTTACCTCAATTCGTAGTTTCTCCTCCTCAGCTTTGCGTTTGAGTTCTTCTTCCCTCTCTCTATCTGCTTGTTCAATAGCAAGACGTAGTCGCTCTTCTTCGGCTTTCTTTTGTTCCTCCATTAAACGCAGCATTTCTTCTTCCTCCCTACGTTCTCTCTCAGCTTCCTCAATCTAAAAACAAACATAATAGATAACGTAAGACTGTGCAAAACAAGGAGCTCGAAGGACACCATGACAATATCATTCACAACAAAATGCGGCAGCAACAACTAACGAAATTTTCCTTTCATAGTTATTAAAATAAATATGCACACCTGCTTCTGGCGTTCCATCTCGATTTCACGTTCACGAGCTTCCCTCGCGAGGCGACGTTTCTCAGCAAGCACTGCTTTGTATTCCTCTTCCGAGGCATAGCCAGTTACAGGTCGATCTGTTCCAGACGGGCCCGTGCCATTTTGATTCTTATCGGCCTCGTTCATAGCGACCACCTCGTCAAACTCGGGAATGAAACCAGGTTTGGGCGCCTCATTGGTGTTGGCAACTTTTTCAACCTCAGCAACAATATCAGTATTTTCGTTGCTCGACACCGTAGTCGCAACTGTCGTTTGTTCCTGTGAAGGGACAGTCTCTTCAATGGACGTAATAACGATGTCGGACGTCTCGACAATAGTTTGGACGCTTTCGAGTGCTCCGTCTGATGAAGTAACCGTCGTCACCGTTTCAGTGATAACTTTCGTCTCATTGCCACCCTCAAAAGCACTCGTTTCTATTGTTGTGGTGGTAGTTTCGCTTTCGACAGTTGATTCTTTGTTCACAGCCTGTACCGCGGTTTCTAGATTACTCGTCGTATGCTCTAAAGTGGATGCGTCGCTTTTAACATCAGAAATAATTCCCGAGTCCGGTTTATCTGAGACAGTACTTGCTGGCTCAAAGATTGCCTCAGATTCAGAAACCTCTACGTTAGACTGTTCCTTTTCAAGTCCTTGCGTAGAAGAGTTTTCCTTGTCTTGTTGAGGGTCTGATGCCTTTGGCTTTTCGATAGATTTTTTCAGGGTAACTTTTCTGTTTGCCGCTGTTAGAGGTTTATTTTCAACGGTGGGAGAAGCGCCGGGACTTGCTTTAGGAGTAGGACGTTTCGGAGCTGACGTGGTGGCCAACGCAGCCGCTTTTTCAGCCTTCTTCGCATTACTGTCAGCTTTGACCTGTAAATGAAAGCGTTTGCCAGTTATTTCATAAGTTTACTCGACTAAACTCAGGTATAGCTTACGTCATTAAAATATCAAATAATAAATCAATGGAACGAAACCTAAATTCACTCTTGGTGATACGGATAAAAAGGTGGAAATATGAAGTAAGAAATAATTGTTACTTAACCATTCTTAAGCAACTATTGCTATTTATTAACATCGAACTCTTCAAGTACAGTCAGTACAAGAAAAAACTAGCCAGAGTATAGAATGGACTCGATATTGTACCTGAGCTGGCGTGCGCTTAGGAGTGCGAGGTGGGGCTATAGGAGCCGTCTTGGCCGGCGTCGAGGGAGCGCTGCTGTCGGGGCCGCCGACACTTTTGGCGCGGGAAGATTTGACAGACGTCAAACTGCCACTCGATGCTATCACAGGAAAAAAATAATACTTCAAACAAGTTGTTCAAATATTGAAATTCGTAAATGAGAAATGAAGTTCCTGTAGGATGTTTAAAAACTATTCAAAATTGAATGTCACAAGATGAAAAAAAGCAGCAGCGAAAGAGGAAACATGCTGGGATTCCTTGCAAGCAAGCGTACTTTATTCTCAAAAGCAGCGAATGGATTAATTGAAGCTCTTTTAGCATGATCTAATTAACACTGAAGTTTCTTTAAACACACGCTCATAACAGCAGAGTTTTTGGCCACGATGAAAAACAATATGTATGAGCATCAGCGTTTAAATTCTGATGGCGACGTGGACTAGTCCCCTTCAGATTTAATCGTATATCCTTGTTTATTGTATTCAAATGACTAATGTGTGTAGTCGGCCAACGAAAAAAATGTTTAATGAAGCCACGAAGCAAATTACGCACTGTTCCTGACGGCAGTCCTGCCCTCTCTACAAGAAGGAGATCGCGGTCTGTCTGCAGCAGATGGAGCAGATCCACCAATGCTCATAGGGCGCGGCTTGCGAGGTGTCGTGCGTGCCCTGAGTACTACGCCGGCAGGCGATGCGCTGGACGACGTCTGGCTTAGAGCGCTTGTTGGGCGTGAGGAAATCTGGTTGGGAGTGGTGCCGCCACTGCGACCTCCTGCATCACACCCACACACAAGCCAATGCAAAGCAGTCCAATTTTTGACACAACTCAAGCTTTTAACTTATTCAAAGCAGTCCACTATAGAAGATTTAGCAGTTTTTTCATAATAGCATTACAACTTACAACTTTAAAGATTGAATTTATCAATTTGGCTTATCATTCAGAGACAATTTTCCTAATTTGGGATGGTTTATGCACATGAACGCAATTAAGCTATAGCGAACAATCTTAAAATAATGGCTAAAATTAGGTGCGAATTATCAATGAAAGCAGAGGAATGTTAGGCGTGTGCACACATAAGCAAAAGAAATGCACATAGATTAGTAAAGTTTATGGAAGACAAAATTGATAAATCACAAGTCAAGTAAGTAATGAAAACTAACGGGCAAGAACTGCGACTAATGCATTTAGTGGCGTGGCATAGAAACAGCGTAGAAACTTTTTACTGGAGAACAATCAGCAGATAGAAACAGGAATAAGACACAATATGAACTATCTACAAATTTCTCACAATATTAGTACTAAAATCAAACTGTTGATAAAGTTAGTGAATGATGACTACCAAGTACTATTGGAAGTTTACAGTCAGACGATCTAGAGCTAAGACATTACAGACAATCTTTATGAACGGAGGTGAGATAAGTAAGAGTTATGAAATTAAAGATCAACTGAAGGAGTAATCAAGTTAATTCGTGAAATCAAAGGATCGTGTTTCCACTACGCACGTTTCCCCCAGTGCACCAAGAAATATCCTTCATCTATACCAGAACCGTTAGTCCAAATTCGATAGCATGCCTATTCTTACGAAAGACAAAACATTCTCGTATGAATCAATGCGATTTTTCGAATAACGACCCATGCAATTTCCATGGTGCGTCTGAGTAAACATACTGTAGGTCTTCGTTGCCGCCTTTTGTGCAAAAATACATGAGTAGTGGCAGCACAGACCCAAATGTTTATCCTGAGGCTACAAGGCAGAAGCACTAGAACCAAACAATGCACGCTAATTCAAAAGTTGGTGGTCAACATACCAGTGAGGCTTCTAACGGCCTCGCAATTCCGTTCCAGCGAAGACTCATAGGCGTACTTACTCTCTTTGTTGTATCATATTTTATTTTCTCATATCCACTAAACTTGCCCAAATTTAATGCTACAAACGGAAAAAGTTGCAAGGGCCTGTGGCGATCTTGCAATACGAACAAAACCTTCGATAAAAAGCACTTTGATCAGTTCCTTCGAAAGGCGTAAAAATATACATAGCGAAAAGTACCTCTCTCTGAAACAATGAAACCTGAATTATTTCCGACGAGGAAAATTGCATGAAAGTATTTTTTTGAAACATTTACATATGCACACCTAACTGTAGCCTGAACTACTAATTACGAAGAAAGTAACCGTGCAAAAATCTGAAAAGACTAGTAACCGCATCCCATTGTGAAAGAAGCCCCCTATTCTAGGAAAGGCGTTCCGAGTGAGTATACTCTATTCTATGGTGTAACAGATAAGCTGGTCGGCATGAAAAATATAAAGTAGAAAGATATAATGAGAAAAGAAGGACGCTAGACCGTACCTGAGATGAGTCGTGCATGTTGTCGCAGCTGTTCAGCGCGAGTAGACCGCACGAGTGCAGCACTACTACGTGACAGCTGCTTGTTGAGTTTCTGAGCAGTGACCTCACCCGCAGCGGGTGCGCGGCTCGAGCCACCGCGTCCACCTGCCAAGTGAGTCATGCTTCGGGTACGCGAGTGAGGGCTACTAGAGGTCATGCGCTCCGAGTCTTTCTCATGCAAAGGAGCCAGCAAGTGAGGATACTGCCTGGGTTTGGCAAGCTGGTCGAGTCGCGACATGGACACAGCTCTACCTGGGGACCGCCGCCTCGGCTTGTTCGAAGTGGAGTCCCTCAACGACGGAATGATGGGGTGCAGGTCCGTGCGGCGACGTGCTACGGAGGTGGTCGATGAGCGACTCTTGTCATCTGCGCCTGTCGATTGACAACATCAAAAATCACAGAGCCCAATAGCAAAATAGGGCAATATATGGATTTATATTTCACTTTCGCGAGCGACTAAAGTTAAGTTGGAGATCAAGCCTTAGTGTACATACAATTAGATGAGAAGTGTCAATAAAATTACAGTTAGCGAGAACAACAAATGAAACAATGAGTAGAGCATGCACGACACCAAATTCAGAAATGAATATATTGTAATAGACGAGGAAATTAAAGATGCCTGATAAATAAATTGTATAAATACAATGACAAAACATTTCTTTCCGATCTAAGGGAGCGAACAGCCAAGAGAAACGCTACAAACATTTCTGACAAGATAAAAGCGTGCCGAAGAAGGAATGAAGGGCTTGCTTTTGGTCGAACATTGAGTTCACATTTCACCGTACATCGTAGTAAGACTGAATTTAGTACCGGATGACGTAACTGAATCATCAAGTTCATTACGAGATAGCAGAAATTGATAGGGTTTCGGTGCATGCATTAGCATTAACTAGAGGAATTATTATAAAAACAATATTATTTAAATTATGAGCCTCCTGACATTCGAAGTTTGCCATAACTGTTTATTTAGTATAATTTGCAATGAACCTTAGAAGTCAGTCAACTCCCTAAATTAAAGTTCATAGTTATCACCATATCAATCATTGGCAGGTAATTAAAGCACTAAACCCCATATTTAAATAAAAAGAATAAAAATAAGACTTATTAGTCTCACGCAGATGAAGGTCGCTGGACAACTTGACACGTATTAGAAACAAACGTGAGCAATAATTTAGAAGTGATAATACTAAAACATACTGGTGATCGTGATGTCTCTTCGCACATTCTAGGGATAAATGTCCGTAATAGGGATAAATGTCTAGGGATAAATGTCCGTAATGTTAGAACAAACCGAATGTTTTTCAAATAAAATCGAAGTGAAACTACGAGTATAAGCAGGAACAATACGATGGAGAAATTGCAAAAATGAGTAATCAAACAAGCAGAAGATCAAGGTATACGTTATACACAATGAGCAGCATAGTTGTTCGGAAACTCAAGCTGTTACCAACCAATTACATGATAAATAGCAACAAGCTGGGGTCGACATAATAAAAGTAGCGATGGATCCGTCATCAGCTGAGATTATGACCTGAAATTAAAGCTTCATCACTACCTGGAACGTCGTCGTTCATATAATACAAAACACATCCATTAACAAAACACTCCATATACTACTACTGTACACTTCAGTGTCCACACTGAGGATTTTTTTGACATTAAGCGAAATAGAATTTATTAGTCTCTTAGGTTTATCTTCATGGCTGTAAACAAATTCGCAAAAAATAGCTTAGTACAGAGAAAGCATGCCGACTTAAGAATAAATTTCTTCGGCAAGTCTACTCTAACGCTGAGTAAAACAAAAGTTTGTAGCCATGCGTCCATCGAAGGGATGCTCCAGCAGCCGTAGAAGGAAAAGAAGAATAAGGGAAGACTCACCGCCAGCCTGGGGCGAGACGCTAACACTTGCAACGCTAGCAAGAAGCTGAGACTTCGAAGCCTGCACCTGGTGGTGCTGCTCGGTCTCTGGATTAGTTTGTGCGGCATCACAAGCTATATTATCATCGGCAGCTTCAAGAGTGCCTTGGGAAGCAGTAGGGCCAAGAGCAAGAAAGTTATCACCAAATTCCCACACAGACAAGCGAGAGTTAGTTGAATATTTAAGCGTGCCGACACCACTAGCGGTGCCAGGAGTCAATGTTTTATCGGATGAAGAAGAAGACGACGATGAGGATGATTGAGAATGCCCAGGAGCAGCTGTAGTGGTGCAACGGTGCTGCGGTGAGCGAGGAAAAGGACCTGCGCTGTGCTTTATTGGAGAAGAAGAAAGAGACTGAGAGAGAAGGAAAGGCTGGTGGGAAACACTAGGCGTAGGAGGAGGCAAAGACATAGTGGGTGAAGAAACGCGGGAGGCGGCCTTGGTGGCGACAGAGCGGTGAGGTCGGCGAGTACCTTGCGTAGGAGAGCCCCCGGTGCTGCTGTCGGTCCAGTGAAACACTTCATACATGGAGCTCGACATGCGTAAGTCTGCACAGAACAGAGCACACGGCACGGGCCTTTCAGTACGGCTTGAGAAATAATTCTCACCTTTACATCAGATTCCACAATTCCAGTAAGCTTAGGTTTAATGATGAAAAAGTAATGATGATACAATGTACGATTAATAATGAATAATTGTTATGATATAAAACGACCAATTCCCTGTTAACGAACATCAGTGAAGGCGTAACTCATACCTTACTCCCAGTTACAGCAACCAGCACGCGCTCCCGAGTACCAACAAAACAAACCGTTTCTCGAGCATGCTTCAACTTACATCAGACATGAAATGCTAACGAATAAAAATGCACTAAATTTTGATAACATGTACATATAGGAATACGTTACAGCATGACTTATACTTTCAGAAAGAGGGTCACAAAAGCTATGAAGGACATGAACTTTTGGCAATAATTAGAACTGTTTAACTCCACTGAAGGGATGGCAATTACTAAACAAAAGTAGTGAACGACTGACAATAGAAGGCAAGTCTACTGGAGACAAGCTAGCTACGTACATTAGCCTTTGACAATGCTCCATGTCATCGCTGACGTGACGACTACAAGTCAAGACATACAAAATCAAAGCAAAGGATGCCTTACCATTGAGGTTGCGGTCGAGGCCTTGCGCAGAAGTGGCCCGCTTGCGCGCGAGGTCAGGGGCGCCCACAGCAGCGCCTCCTGCAGCAGCGGCGGCGCTGTCCACGCAATCAGACGACCTGCGGGCTGAGCTGCCGGAGCCGCTGCCTTCAGCGCCGAGCGTCACGTTGCTGATGGATGTCGCTCTGAACACAGGTTACTTATTAACGGGTTATATGCAAGAAAACAATGTTACACAGCAGGAATAAAAAATCTAGTTCCATAATGATGAAGGAAAGTTGTAATTTTAATTTAAATGTAACGACAAGTGATTAACAGCTTTCAAGTAAAATACAGGCTAAAAAATACCGAACATGCTTTAAATAAATTCAAAATGGTGCGTTTGCTTGTGGGCGCGGTTGACGCCTTACACTGTGAAAATTTAAGGAATAGTATAGCACGCATCCATATTGCGAGATATTTTTCTGATTTGAAATTTATTTTGTGGGGAAATCATGAGGCATTGCAAAGCGCAGGAGAAATTTTTGGATGAAACTTTAAATTAAAATATATTTTGAAACTGTGGGAAACTTAATTCCAACGCAGGGAATTAAGGCGTCATTTGATGTATGTGAGTTTGAAATAGTCATTCAAAAATCAAAATTACTTTATTCAAAGTTCTGATAACAGGGAAGTCGATTTTATAAGAAAAAATTGCAGATCTCGAGGACTATCCATGTCGAGTATCGCCGGGATAAAATATTATATAATTGTATAGTTAATTCAACTGATTTCTAATACTTGCGAGTATTTAATAAATAAATAATCTCCTCGGCAGGTCAGTCTAGAAATATATAATATAAATCAGTCTAGAAAATATAAAAAAATTATTTTACTTTCTCACGTTATATTGGCAATAAAATACCTTCAGAACGTGCATCCATTTAGAAAGCTAATAATTTGAACAGCAATTCTCAAAAAAATTAATCCCATTTCCGAAGCGTATAAGAAAGAAAAATTAATAATACTCTACCGGCGGGCGCCCCAGAAAGAGCTGGTCTCCTTGGGGTCCAGCATGCGGGGCGTGGAGGAGCCGAACGCGAAGACGATGTTGCTGCGCTCGTTGCGCCGCTTTGTCTCGAGGCGCTGGTCGCGCTCCTGATGAAACCATACCAAAGTCGATCAACCAGAAATGGCTCTTAACCTCATAGTATTGGAAGTAAGAAGTTAAACGGGGGTTAATAATACGCGCAACAATGTAAAAACTAACAAGAAAATTACAAAGGTAAGAATACAAAATTGTATACATTTTCGCTGGCATTGATAGACATACCTACTTTAGCTACTCTGGGTCCAAAAAGGGACCGATTAGAAAATTTTGTAGAAATAGTAATAGCATGCAAATTAAGTTCAAAGTTTACCAATAAACACTCATTAGTAACGCTCGGCGGAGTTGCAGACTCGTAAACACAACAAGTTTGCAGCGATATCAAAGAAATAAAACTATAAACGAATAAATAAGATGTTTATACTTGGAAAATATTTTATTCGTTCAGCAGTAAAAACTAATAATGCCGTTGTAAATAATTCGGCAAAACTTTCGTACTTCCATTAATGCCAATGATAGTCGTCACCACACTGGAAATGCATTTCACATTCTACACATGAGCTAAACCACACTAAATAGGTAATGTTTGGAGGATGAGGAATGGGAGTATCATTAATTAAAAATAAAAGAAATTTTACACCCCCATTAAAGGCTTCCTGACTAGTCAGAGTTTTTTGCCCCAGGTTAGACATGAGTGAAGCCAGTCCAGCGATCAACATTATAGATATTATTTTGTTACTTTAATTTTGAAATTGAATGTCACACGTGCATGGTCGAGTCGTGCCTAAGGCCGCACAATACGAGAGTAGCGATGCGTTATCTCCAAGCTGGGCGCGACTGACCACGTTCTTTTTGATGCTAGCCTCCCGACGCTGCTGGTCGGCCTGTTCTATGACGCGCCGACGCTCCTCCACCTGCAGACGACGGTCCTGGTCACGAGAACGCAGCTCCTGGAGCCTCTGCCGCCGCTGAGCCTCCTGCTGCTCGCGAAAGCGCTGGGCAGCAGCGGCCTGAGCAAAACATTCCATTTATAACAATTGGATATGCGATCTAATCATTTCAATAAAATTAATTCATCGTAAGCCATTAGCCATGAAATCCGACTGGGCAGCAGCGGCCTGAGCAAAACATTCAATTTATAACTATTGGATTTGCAATCTAATCATTTCAATAAAACTAATTTATCGTAGGCATTAGCCATGAAATCCGAGCAAGTTTAAAATGACAAAGGATAACTAGAACTTAATTGATACTAAAAAATTGACGGAATTCCCAGTTAAAAAACAATGATTTTAGTCAAGTACCATATTATTCAATATAATTCCTCAATGTGGATCAAAAAAGCACACATGAACAATAAAAAAACACTGACATTTAAGTACCGTTTAATCGGTTCACATACTAAATCCTTTCTGTAGGAGCCCAACTGCTATGCAACAATTCAGATTGTTTGCAAGTTTTATGAAAAACAATCAAAGCAAGCAAGCATGCTTCAACATGACCGTTACTATTAAATAATCAAGAACGATAACCGATTAAAAAACTAGAGCCAAGATAATTAAGGCTTCTCAGGACATTATTTTAGATAGGTACGTTGGTTAGTAACAAGCAATTTCAATCAAGTCTGGTTTTCAAACAAGTGATGCTTTTGGAAGAGACGTTGGTAATGCAAATGGACAGTCTATACGAGATTAAGAACGACTAACTTTCCACTCCGCATGTAACGACGTTACATCAGTGTTTCCAAGATACTAAAACTCGGAGAGGAAAAATTATTTTGTAGGGCAGGAAACAATAATGTCGGCAAGGTAAATATCAGCTAACGAAACTATAATTTCTGTATTGGCAATTTCATTTGCCATTACTTATTGAAGGAATTAAGAAGTTAGACGTTGAGCCTTTCGTTTTTGGAATAAATGGTGGCCGCGGTCATCGTCCAGCTTTGAAATTTGATAAACACGAGTTGTGCTCATACACCTTTACCCTACAACAAAACAGTCCGTTGGAGATGATTAACATGTGTCCACAACTCAACAATAAAAGGAGTTAATTAGAACTAAAGAAAGTCTTTTACCCGGAACTTGAATTCCTACAGAAAAATGTTACTGAAGAGATAGCACTGCGGGTTAAAATACTCATAACTATCACACTGGACAACCAGAATACCTACCTGTTCCGACCAATCATTCGCCTGTCGGGAAAAAAATAATTATTTACCAATTCTCAAGGTAATATGAATAATAATTAGGAATTTCAGCTCAACATTCGAATAATTATAAAGCAAAGAGGCGTGATGCGTTCAATTACTAATGAGCAACGCTAAAGCAATATGGCGTGACCCTTCGCAATGAAGCGCATCGGGTCACGTGGCCTTAAAGTCACGAATTTGCAAATTTATAATTCGACAGGTCAAGAAGAGACGAACGTTTTTGAACATTATAGGCGCATTCCTCTCTCTTTTAAAAACAGCGTTTACATACATGTCATCAACGCGGTAAGTATTATTGAACAGAAATAAAGTTACTGATGCATGACGCAGCTGTCACTTTATGGCGGCGTAACTTTAAGATCTGCGGAATAATGTTTTTTTTTTCTTCCTTAAAATGTCTAATTTGGGCGTCAACTCACATGTTCTTTGAGCTCCTCGAGTTTCTGTTGCCTCTCGTTTTGCTGCCGCTCTCTGAGCTGACGAAGCCTCTCTTCTCTGTCCCTATGGGACACGTTGGAGGTCCGCTCAGCGCCTGCTCACACACGAACTCATCGTCAATATTATGGTCAGTGAGCAACCCCATTCATATCTAGCGCTCCTCTTAACCAAATACGGGTTAAAATAAAACTTCGGCACCCAAGTAAGATGTGAAGAAAATAAATGTTCATGCATAGCAATAAATAAGAAAGTAAAACAAAGAGGAACACTAATGTTACTACATCGTAAAAAATTTATTTCCCATCAGATACCTAACAGAAAAGATTTGATAATGAAAAAGCACTAGGAAATTCTCGCACATAATTACGTTGATGAAAGGTTAGAATAACAAGCTAATTGATTAAAATATAAATGCGCATAAAGTGTAAGGTTGAAATGCGCATAAAGTCTTAGGTTGAAATGCGCATAAAGTCTAAGGTTGAAAGTAGATGGCTGAAAGCAGAAATTAGGGGGTGAAAACGTGATTAGCAGTCTCATTAGCAGCGTAAGACTGAGCGACGCGGGACACCGCCCAGCACTCAAGCTCCGGCTGGCATGCATAGCAACAAGAAGACACAAGAAGGCTCCGTAGCGAGTTAGCGTTTCAGTTTAGTATGCATTAGTCTTGGCGAAATGTCGAGATCAGACAGTAGGATACTAGATCGTATGCCGCACGAACATGCGCCTTCTCTTTCATGCGTGTACTAATTTACCACAAAGTACGAAATTGTTCGGGCCTAGACATAAGTGTGATGAAACAAAAAATTATATAATTATTATAGTTCAATTACTAAAAAGTGTTAAACGACGAATGCATTATTCTAAATGGAAAGTCAGTTATTCAAGCGATCATCTTGGCTTTTAGACCAAGAAGCACGATGATACTACCAATCGATAGCCGTAATGAGTTCAAATTGCGAAAATAAATCGAAGAAAAACGACGATGCTACGATCACATGCATATAAAGACATTAAATATGATAGAAAAGCGAGAAAAGATGTTGCGAGCTGAGGTCGGAAGGTCCATACATGATACACCCAAGTTTTGCACTACCCACAAAAAGGGTAAAATTTCACGGTAAAAGCGGAGAAAACTTTTACGTCTATATATATATATTGCGCAAAAGCAAGCTTGGTGAAAAAAATTCAAAAACATCAATAAAAAAATCAGCATTAAAACAAGCGAAGCTATTGAAAAAATATTTCTTATGTTTTTCTGAGGATCAACTAATCCTAAAAAAATGACGACTTTTCTAGAGAACAAACCTGTTCCGAAAAATAATTCATTAGGGCCAGCTAATGGGGATTTAGAAGAGAGGTTGTGAGGTGAAGGTGCGGCAGCAGAATCGGCTGAGGTGGTAGATGTGATGGTAGTAGACGCAAGCAAAGTATCTGAGGGAGAACAGTAGATATGCTGCACACAATACCAACATGTGTGGTAGCTAAACAAAGGTAGCAGTGCTGTACTCACACAACACACACACTCACACAACACACACACACATCACACACACACACACACACACACACACACACACACACACACCGATCATTCAGCAAAACGTGTTCGCAGCAGTGATTGCGGTGATAACAGGAAATCTCAACTCAACAGGCGGCTTTTAGTTCGAATCTAGCAAAAAAATCTACTCTTTAGGAGCTATAATCCTACCAACTTGGATAAAGAAACACAATTATAGGTGTAATTGGTGGAAAAATCCCAAGAGATTTTACTAGAAGCAGGCCTTATCAATGTCATTGCGCAAATGGGCATCGAACATAAATCATCCACGTGTTAAAGTTACAAATTTAAAATTCTGACATGCCTCTAACGAACAAATGTTAAAAGTATGCAGACGTTAGACGTATCCTTAACTAAAGAAAACTAATACGTTCAAATCCAGTAATGGATATATAGGTGGAATTTCTTCCAAAGAAAGTCACAAATTGAAACAACGAATAATTATACACGTGTAAGTGCGCAGGCAAAAAAAGCAAAAAAAAAAATCTTTTTTTTTTTTTATAAAAATCATGAAACAAATTTTATAGAGTTATTGAAGTGCGACCAGATAAACCATATTTTCGTCCGAAGGAATTTTCTTCAATCACGTTAAAATTGAGAAATTTAATAAGTTGTGCCCGTTAAGGAGCGAGCAGCAGTTCCAACTATCACATTTACAGCACTAAACATTATATTTATAAAACCTAGCTCTCAATTTATTGCAAACTAGGAGCCAAATATTGTGATTGAAGAAGTACAACAGATATATACAAATTCAAATGAGTAGGAGCCAAATATTGTGATTGAAGAAGTACAACAGATATATACAAATTCAAATGAGTCTATCTAGGCTAGGATTAGTTGCTACTAAATTACTACTGTACACACGGAAATCTTTAGTCACATCTGCAATGGCTCCACAGGAACACACAGAGGGACGGGACAGCTCAAGTTCAAGATAAGATCGGTATAAAGAAATCACGAGCCTGATTGCGAAACTTGAATTTATACTGCACACTCAATCACTTCCACAAAACACGGAAAAATGAAACAACATCGCAACAAATTAATTTACAATACCAAGTGATAAGATTCTTTAGACGTCACTAGTTTTAAGAGGCCTTTAATTTCAACGTTTTCTTTTCGATGTTCACGCGCAAACCTTAGGTAGCGAAATAATACCATGGGCGCGGATTATTCTCACCAGCATTATAATTGTAGAAAATATGTCATCAGTACACAAGTGCAATTTTTTGCATGCGGGTACTTCAGGAAATATTACTACTACCTCTGGTACATTTACAAGTGCAATTTATATTCCAGACGATTTAACCCTTACAATTAAAACTCCAAGAGTTTCAAAGTAAGGTGAATGCTGCAAGTAACATAAATCACAACCTTGGGTATTTCCACAGTCGACTTTGCACATGTGTACAGGTCAGAAAGAACACATGGCGCTGAGACGTACAGAAATCCGGCAGGCAATCATAATATTTTAAAAGGTCCGCTCTGTTGAGACAACAGCAGTGCTTGCCTAGCCTAAAGCTACCGGAGCTCGGAGGGCAATACATCAAAGAGGTTAAAATTTACATGGAAAATCCTACGGAAAACCTCCACTGGGACCGGCAACTACGGGAGATTAGTGTGACACGTTTTAACGAGAGGACAATGGACTCGGAAACCAATCGAGATAAATGATCCTTGAAAAATAATAGTTTGGTGAGCAATGAAAGAAGCTCAAATCGCTTTATCTCGTTGAAACTGATGTGAAGATATACATAACAGAGAAGGGAACTCTAGGTTATAATGGAACTCGGTGTTACTCAATAAACAAATGATTCACGCATTAATGAAGTGTATTGTTTGAATTTGATGGTGAACCGATTGCCGTCAAATCAATAATCGACGTGAGAAATTAGTTGACGGGAGATGGGTTCGGACACCTCTATATGAGGCGCTTTTTGGCAGATTAGTTGTTAGTAAAAATCTACTGGAACACTAAGATCGACACTCGTGTTAGGTGGAGCTACTACGGAAGCAGAATTGCAAAACACAAAGTTAATTTACGCAGCTGTGTCTCGATTCATCAGGATGTTGGAGGCACACGAGATACCTTCAGAAATTGTGGCTAACGAGCGGCATTGAGAACCTAGTAGTTCGCGGTTGCTTCCAAATTCGAAGTCGATGCAGGGATGAATAGGTGATGCGGGAAAAGACGGTGATGTTGAATAAATCGTGAAGCAGGAGGAATGCTCAGCCCGTTGCGTGGTAACGAAACGATCTTCTGATCCGCCGTACTCGAACACTATGTTGCTCGTGTTGAACCCTATTTGTACACATCCAATCACTCATGATTAGGCTAATCCAATCACTCTTTCAGTTAAAACTTATGGATTATGCAATTTTGTAGTGTGTTGCACACATAGTTAAAACATGAAGCAATATACGTTACACGCCCTTATATCTCAAATGCAAGAGATGGTAATTCTGAACATAACCAAGATGCGGTTATCCTAACGTCAAAAACTTTTAGCGGAATGTTTGTACCTCAGTTGTGTCTCAGACATCTACAAACTTGAACTAGGTTCTTGTGACAAGCTAGGCAGATTATCGGTGCAATATTTATTTAAATCGGCCGGTACGCATAAATTCACGCCAGAGGCTACGGTCAACTCACTTTCCAATTCGCTGAAAACTTCAAAGTCTAAATCATAATGAATGACTCCAACAACGATAATAGAGAAATTGGACATAATATTTTTATTTGATTAAGACCAGAATAGTAATGAGAAACTTCTAACCTCTATGAGCTAAGCGAATATACCTATACATAAAGTTCTATGTGAGATTTTTTGCAAAGAATCTTCCGTTTCTACCAGTAATCTAATCTATTTTGGAAAAATGTCAAATAAAATATCGCTCAAACCTGGATTGCACTCAGCAAATATGAACAACTTAAACTATACATTCCTTTTTCGCCATAATATAATCCGCCATGGACGCACAGATTTTGCTTATTATGAGCATGCAGTTTCTGAAGCTTTTAATAAACACCGAATGAAGCATTGTATCTTAACGAAAAACACGAATTGAAAGTTAAGGTGAGCATTAAAGTGCAGTGCTGTACAGAGAGAGAACATATAAAGTACCTGAATTTAATCCCTTCCGAAGAAAACCAACCGTAACCACACAACTGTTGGTGCAACTTGCCTTCTTGACCACCATATTTTCAGAGAAACTAGAAATGCTTTCAAGTACGTTATGCCGTGTGATATTATTTCCAAAAGGGAAAGGTAAAATGAATAGGTTCTGTTAGAACTAGACAATTTTATCGCAAGATTGCATAACGCACCTTTGTGTGATTGTTCCTTGGAGTTGGAGTGAGCGTTGTTAGAATCGGCAAAGTTGGCAGGGGAAGATGAGGAGTCTGCAGCAGCAGGACCTTGCACCGCAGGCGAGGCCCCACTCCCACCTACCATCATGTTACCGTCTCGACCGTCACCGCTACCACCGCCGCCGCCTGTAAACAAGAGTCAGGCAATAAACACCAAGTTATAAGTACAGAAAACAAGAGTCAGGCAATAAGCACCAAGTTATAAGCACAGAAAAACAAGTGTCAGGCAATAAGCACAAAGATATAAACACAGAAAAACAAGTCTCAGGCACTGAGCACCAAAAAATAAGCACAGGAATTGGTCCAAGTTGAAATGGGTGCATCGAATACCGAGGCATCAAATTAAGGATCTTCTCTCCTAAAAATGTACTCGTGTAAATATTGGGGTTGCACAGTGTCAATGGCTAAGAACGATATAAAGATTAGATGTGTAAAATAAAAATTCGGGCGATATAGGAATAAGTTTCACCGAATGACCGTTTGGGGAGAGAACGATGATTCATATAAAAGATATTGCAAACACTGTTGTTGACAGACGAATCAATTCGTAAGAGGAAAAAAAACTTCAAAATAATATATTCTATCACAAATGGCTGGATTCGATCCTTTAGGACCAATCACTAAAATGTAAAATCATGTGAAAGAATAAGGACCTGCGCATCAGTCAAAAAGTAAAATTATATGACCCCATGAATTAGATGGTCGGATTGAGAAATCACACGGATATTAATTCCAAATTATTATCGATTACCACTTTGACATTTGAAAATTTCTTAGAAATATATATAAAAACGAACAACAAGATTGATATTAGACGCATGGTGCTTTAACGTACGGGTCGCCGAATCCTCCCGGGTACTTAACAACGAATGGGGATGGATGTTGAAGCTGGTATAAAATAAATGCCATCAATCTCATTCCGTCATTGACCAAAAGCCGAAAATATTCATGGTCTAAGCAGAGTTAATACAAGACAACTTGCTGGTCACAAAGAGTCGACACCGAGAAATGCGAGAAAAGAAGGATTGCTTGCGCCACGTTTACTAGAGTTTCTTTTCAGGGAAACGCTATGCGCGAGTTGCAAGAGCGACAAGGCTTGTCTTCACGGACGAGTAATTAGAAATTGCGAAAAGAAGAAAATGTTGTGCCATTTAGCCAAACTTTTTCAATATTTCCGGTGGCAATATTTCCGAAAAGCAAAATTTGGCACATGATATAAGAAAAACAGCAATGACTGCGTGTTCAATCATTCTCAAAAATTCACAAGGAAGAAAATAATTTTCCTGAAATTAAATCGGGAAAACCTTTCAGAAACGCAAGATTTTTTCGACAACGTATAGGAAGAGACTCAAATTTACGCCCACACTAACCAGTAGCGCTCGGCGACGTGCCCACGATTGATTGCGCGACATGTTGCAGGTTTCACATCAAAGTTCACTGAAGGAGCGCAGAGAATGATTTAGTTTTAGTCGCACGCAACCGGCCAAACTCTACAGTGAGAACCCGTAAGGATGTTTTGATGGCTGTGGAGTGTTCATTTCGTCGTACGGACACAAAAACTCTCAACGAGGCCAGGGATAAAAAAAAGCTCTGCTTGCAGCGTCGGCGAAACAACGATGGAGGTCCGTAAAATATGGCCAACAGAGCACAAATGAAGAAAATCTATGGCTGTTGGAGAGCAGATCGACAGAACAGGCCACATGTAATATTGAAGTGGTCACGGGAAGTTCAGGCTCCAGTAAATCGAACAGCGAGTAATTCCATAGATATACTATACTGGACTGCAAAACATTCCGCGGTAGCCTCAATGCCCCGACACAAGCACATAGCAAGCCAAATTGCTTCATATTAAGAAAATTAATTCGATGCATGCGCGTAATAAAAATTGCCGTTTCTCTAACGATTGCGTCGATCAAACAATCAGAATAAGTGCATTGATGTTGCTGCATGAAACAGTGAATGAAGCAGCCGAAACAAATAACGTTAAAACCACAGTGAAAGAGAATGCCAAAAATTCTCAAATAAATACAGAATATACACTGGAACTCCGATCAGAATAGCATAACTTAACATACATGGCACGAAAATGGAAAATAAAAATTATTATCTATTTTTAAATAGGCAACATCGTAGCCACATCTCAATAACAAAATAACTGATGCCTGGCGGTTAGCATGGTAAACTTATAAGAAAAAATAAATAAATAAAATTGAAGACAATGCGTTTATCGGGCAACACGAAATGAAATAAGGGTGTCGCAAAAATGGGGTTCAGCGATGTGACTGCTTAGAGAAATAAGAAGCCAACACTAAGACAAAGAAAGATGTATTTATGCGAGATATATTATCGCTAAGAGCGGTACCTCTCGGGGCGCGTATAAGCTTCAAATACTATTAATCGTATGATAATTATTAAGAATCTATGCAGCCACTACCTGAGAATTTAGAAAATGGGTGAACCAAGAATGTAATGAATGTTAAAAAATACTATTTATATTATCAAAACTTTCAACGTGATAATAATGACGAAGCTTGAGTGCATCGACCATCTATAAAAATTTTGATATAAAACGCATCTTAGCATGGTCGATTTGCCAAGCAAGATGCGCAAAAGAAAATGCCGTGAAACGAAGCAAGATACGCACTCCATACAAATCCTCTTGGACACTTGAATCCTAGAAAAATTCTGCAAACTAAGACAATGTGATGCAGAAGTCTCAATAGATTATTTATAATAGGTTTGTTTATTCATGAAATAAACTGTATCCAATAACGTATACCAGCATCAGTTATCAACATCGTGCATGGACAAGGCCATGATTTAAACTTCAATGCGCAAATAAGCACCACATGCAGGCTTGGGGACGTGCGAGGATATCTTGTCAAGAGAAATCAGTGATCGCTCACGTGCTCACAGGATTTATGTTGATGGACTTATACTTGAGTATGTTGATGGACTTTATATATAAGTTTGTGTAGGTTTAGTCCGTCTTTGTTAAGGCTTCGATCGCCAAGGAAACTTTAGAAAGCATTCAATTTGCGTTAGGACCGGGGATTTGTTGTTGCAGTGCTGGGAAGCTAAGCGTTGGGCGTGTCTCGCGGTTCCAAAATGTTAATTCGAAAGCATGACGCCTAACTTCGTTGCCGCATTACTCATAGCCTAGAGCATTTTAGATATTTAATTTTGTCTACTCCAAGCCAAGGAGTGAACAATCAACAAATTATCTAAGTGGAAATTACCTTATTTAAAACAAGGCATGAAACAACGGAGTGATAGAGTCGTCGCATAAACAATAATGCACATTTTCAAGCCATTATGCGCGTAAAAGATGTTAAAATTAAAGTGCCAGAAGAGGTGGACGGCGATGGTGTGGCACAAACGATCGTTACATTGAACGGCAGAGCAGATCACAGAAGAATTCGCTCAGCAAGCCTTGATGACCAACAATCTCGGCGATGGCAGAGCGTCACGAGCAAGACATTCCAAGTCCATTACTGAGCACCGACGCATTCTATCATGGAACGGATCTTCCCGTCTCATCGAATTTTAAATTTGGTCCATTTGCGACCATCATGAATAAACCACCAATTATTCAATGACTAAAAAAATTGGGTTAGAAGGGATGAAAATGTGCTTGAAAAATGACGGAGATGATTCGAATTGCCTCTTCAAATAACTGTCCTAAACTCTTCTAGATTTACTACTAAATTTTGTATATTATTTTCCGACAATAGTATAACCAATGTAGGTATACTTCAGTATAACCAATGAATCGTAGTACCTGACAGCCAGAATACCTTACAAAGAAGATAAGGGAAGAAAAGAAACAGCTTTAGCTGGCGTCAGGCGCATTACGCTAGTGGAGGTGTTTTGGAAGTGAAGCCGCAGACAAACACTTGACGCTCGCGCCCTGTAATTCACGATAGCGCCAACCCAAGAAATTTAGCTTCCGAGCGCGCTTGACGCTCGCAAACATACCTTCCAACACGTATCCCAAATTAGCAAATGAAAATCTACCGCGTGTCTGTTAAAAAAGTATGCATATGTGTAGAGAAAAACTATCTACGCGAAGAAAAACTAAATTTAATAAAAATAGCAAAAAAAAAACTCGCGTTACGATATTATTTTTCTGCCCCATGTGGTCGGTCGTGATAAGGCACGTACAAAACGCATAGCCAGTTTAAATTGACGCAAAAAGTTATCTACGAACTGCTATTAAATTTTACTTTAAAACACCATAGCTGGCCGGTATATCAACAAAAAACAATTTTTGATTTAATTATATCCTATTTAGGATATATTGGCTAAACCGATAACTCAGAATGATTTTTAATAAGATCCGTAAATAACTTGGCTCTTGGCTGATCTATCAATTTACTAAAAATTCTTCCGTATCTGCCATTCAACTTAGCAATTCACGACAAAATGAACTCAGCGAAAAAATAACAGGTTTCTCGACCGCGTTCGGACGAACAGCAACAAAGTAATTAGAGCACGAACCTGGACAGTATCGAGCGCTTTCGACAATGAATGCCCAGGAAATCCTGAGTCTGTGTTGGACGAAAGCAGGGCAACTGAGCTACAGCATATACAGCAAAACCGCTACTTAAATCAAGGCACGAGGTGTAGCAATTTGAGGGCGATCAATAAAGTGGGGGTAGGGTACCTCGTTAGTGGCGCCCAGAGATCGGTGCGGTTGTGCAGAGCGAGACACAGCCGCCCTCCAAGAACTAATTGGTCCGGTCTATTATGAGAGTAGATCTTGGGAACGGGCGCCATAATACGCTCTTTTTCTGCCATCATTCGGCTCAGTGGTTCGAGTCTCATCAGGTCTGCCAATTGATGATTAGACGCCCACAAAACTCGGATGCTCTGGTGGACTCCCTTTTGGTCGCTAGCATGACTGTAGAATGAAAAAAAAAAGAGCGACGCCCATGGGAAGACGAAAAATAACTAACAGGCATTTCTGACGAATTACCAAGAGACGCTGGTGCGGCTAAAACCAAAAAATGTAATAAAGTTCTATTGTACAGAATAAAAAAAATATATGCCATTGAATACTTTCCTTTTCAGATTATCTTTTGAAGGCAATTTAGACAAGCATATAGGTTCGGAAACCAATTTAA